TGGTCAGATTCTGTCCATTGTAGTTTAAAAGGTAACTTTGGCAAGATCTGGGTAACCAGTGGTGAGGAAAGTGGTTCCTATAGATGCTTTGAGGCTCCCAAGTGATTCCAGTACCCATTTTTAATTTTTCAATGTCTTTTCTTCATTAAATTGTCCACCATTTGCCCTAGGGACTTGACACAATTTTTGTCACTTGTTGTCTCACCTCCCACTTGTGTATGCCCATGAGAGACCTTGTAAAAAGACCTAGGCCTAAAACAGTTTTAAGGATGGTGACATGTCCTGGAGAACACAGGGGGCATTTTTAATGTTTAAAAATCAGAAAGATTTTGGACAGGCAATGGTGAAGAGCTTGACAGGGATGCTGCCTTCTGGGTTTCTACAGAAGGAACAGTGCTCCTCACTGCTGCCCCACATTGCCCATCCTTGTGATAAACCAAAGGAAAGGTTTTACCACTAGTGCTTTTTTACTTTAAACATCAGCATAAAAATGGCGGTGAGAAATGGGAGACACCAGTATCTCTCTGTCTGGACTAAAGTGACCCAAAGATTTGAACAGAGTCTTCCCAGTAGTAATCAGACCATTCAATGCCTATTGAAGTGATGGGCAACTCCTGCCCCTCCATCTGTTGTTGGACTGAAGTCCCTATCATCCTTCAACATGGCTGTGCAAGATGATGGGAACTGCAGCCCAAGATTGCTTGAAGGGCCACAAATTGCCCAGACCTGGGCTCCTGCTACAAACCAAAAGACAAGGTGTTTGACCTTCTCCTACCTGATCACTAAACCTCAGTCCTCAGTCTCCACATTTGGGACTGTGACTTTTGTGGATTTGAATATTCATGGATTTGTTTAATATGTTCTCTCTAAATATCTCTAGGTTCTCCAGCATGACTCTATGGTCAACGTCCATAAAAAGTCACACAGGAGGACCTAGAGATTCCTAGAGAGGACACTTCACTATGCATTTGAAGGTCCTCCAGTGCAATTCTGTGGTCAACATCTGGTAGATATTGACCACATTTTGAGGGGGACACACGGGCATCTGGTAAATGTTGACCACATTGGGTAGATGTTGACCACAGAGTTGCACTGGAGGAGATTCCTAGAGAGGTGTTTTTCTCAGGTTGAAAAAAAAAAGTGGTTTTTTACTTGAAATTTTCCTTGAAATTTTTCTATTTTCACAAGGGTACTATGCCCCTAACCTCAGCAAATATGAAGACCCCATTGTACATGCTTGCAATAATGACGATGCTACTTTTCCCCTTTTGGTTCATATGCTTCCTATATTGATAAAAGCAATGAGGGGGACCCTTTGCATGAATAATTAGACAGTTATGCATTTTGCCTCATTATGCCCTTTACATTTTAAGTTAGTGCAATTAAAACAAAGAGAAATATTGACAGACCTTTGTGACATAAATGTCACCTCTCCTTGGAAAGATATTGATATAGCTAAATTGTTGGATTATATCCTGAAGAATGTGGGGGGGGGGGTTTCATCAAAAATGTCAATCAAACCTTCACTCAATTTCTCCCTTGGATCAGAGATATTTCCTCTCTTCTCAAAACACATTGAATCAGCTGGAGAATCATTTATAAAATATGAATGCGTGCGAGCTTTCGCCAACTTGAGTGCTTTTCACCATTATGGGCAAGAACAAATAAATAGCTTTAGGACCTTGATTAAAATATAGCTGTGAAATTCCAAAGGAACTAAAGGAGGGGGAAAGAACCTTTTTACAATTTTTTCCATATTTAGAAACACTGGGCTTATGTGTACACTAAAGGTTTTATCATTTTAACGACGTAAAAAGGAATACATGAACATAAAGGACCAAACATTTAACATTTGTGTTAAATATATTTTTGATGTCCAAGGTGGAAATATTTTTTTTCCCTCAATGAAAATACAGTTTCAGAGAAGGTGAGTTCTTCAGAACCCTGGCAGGGGAGAAAAAGGTTAAAAACTCCCTCTTAGTAATTGCTCTTATCTTTTTAATGATCATCACTTCTACCTTTAGCTCATGGAATTTGCATTTTAAAAAAACATTGGCCCCTCAGATTCAAAGAGACTTACTATTTTGCAGCTAGTATTGTTTACAGCTGGACAAAATAGGGTGAAATCAGCTGTTCTTACAACAAAACATGCCTCCACACTGCAGAAATAATCCAGTTTGACACTGCTTTATTTGTCATGGCTCCATTCTATGGAATCCTGGGAACTGAAGTTTATTGTGGCACCAAAGCTCTCTGGCAAAGAAGGCTAAATGTCTCACAGAACTACAGATCTCAGGATTTGAAAGCAAGTCTGTTGCACAGCTGTGGAATACAATATATCTATGCTGGGGTACACTTAAATTATGCTAGATGTATAAAGCACTGCTGCAAATTATCTGATGTGGGGGGTGTCTATCAATTTTTTTTCAATATGCAGGAACAGTATCATAAGCTATAAATATTCCTTTCTTTATTGGAAACTCATGGCACATCAGCAGGCAATGGCTTCCAAACCTGTCCTGGGCCTTAGACCACTACTTTGCATAGCACTGTGGTATCAGATCTTGGCTTAAACTGAATTTAAATACAAGTCTTTGGTCTGAATCCTATTGCTATTCTCAGAGTAATCTCATTAGGTCAATGGGATTTACTTACATGTTAACTCCCCATTTAACAATGGATCAAATGGGTCTACCATAGTTGGGACTAACCCCAAAAGATTCAGGTTTTACTCTTTATACCCCCAAATGTGGACTTTGCTTTACAACATATTTGTTAATGTTTGATTTGCTTGGAATCAGATCTTTGGTTGATTCAAGTCGGTGACATTCATCAAAACAAAATCTGCCATCAGGTGCTGTTTTACCACCCATTTAAATATTATGAGAATTGTTGGGAAATTGCCATAGTTCAGTGAAGTGGGAAAGAAGGGTGCATTTTTTTTTGGGGGGGGCCTGGTTATATATCAATATAATAAACAACTGTCACATATATTTAAAACTGCCATTTCTGAATTTTAATTATGTCATCTCCAAATAACTTCTCCTCAGAAGAAAGCTGAAGTGACAGCTTGTGGTTTGAAGAAAATGAAACATGACGTAGGCTCGTTTTCTGTTCCTCCTAGAGCAAAAAATTAATTTTCTTCTTCTTGACAAGAAAGTATTTTAATTAGAAATTATTTCTGATTGCATTCTTCCCTCCCTCTCTTCTCCACAACATGGAAAGGAATGAGGTTGATTCAGCGCGCATGTAGATATTTACTCTATCAACAAACATCGCCTCTGATATAATGTATTAAATCCGTTCTGCACAGATATTAAACTAAAGAGTTGCTAAGATAGGCAGGGAGCATTAAAAGAATGACAAGGGATTCATAATTTTTGCAATTGAACCATCCTGTCCTCTGAAAAGATGACATATTTGCAGCTAAAACTTTGTAAGATTTAGCGGCCATGAAGTGGCTTTTGGGATCAGCTTATTGTTCATGTTCAGATCCATGTTCTTCTTTCCATCCCTTTTCTGTTAACTGCAGAGATCTGTGTCCATATGCCTTTTCCTCTAAAATGATGTTTTGGTAAAAAAAAAAAATCCCTTAAATGTACTTTTTGGTATATTTTTCCCCACCCCACAATATACAATAGATTTATTGATCTGTTGACCATGAGGATGTAAAGAATCCTCACAATTTTTCTCATCCTCTGGCAGAAAGAGTGTGTCAGTACATCAAGATATCCCTTGAAGAATATCTGTGAATTTTTTTGTTTGTATCAGAACTTCATTTGCAAAAAAGAGAGATAATCATCTGCAAAAGACAGTTTTTATGCAAATATTGTTTTTAATCAGAAGAATCATGACTGTTTCACAAAGAACCTTGAAATGTGAAAAATCATTGAAAATGAGAAAGAAAGAAAGAAAGCTTCATGTATACTCAACAAGAGAAGACAAAACATTTGAAACTATTTCTTCTTGCATGAGAGAATGAAATGAGTGAAAATTTACAGCTCTCATAAATCCTAACAAAGAAATTCCAAACAAATGTTACAAGACCAATCGTTCTTTGGTTTATTGATCTTCAAACATTTGAGGCCTAATATTAATTGCAATATTTGAACATTGAGCAACATTAAGATTTTTAATGTCCAAAAGCTGGCAGATTTGCCAAGGACCATTTCAGAATAGGCTACAACTATTTGTCCATCACAGCCTTGTAAAAATTGCAATACAGCAGCAAGTGCGCTGTAGGTCTTAAGGAAATCCTGAACAAAATGAACTAAAGTTCTGGTCACAGAATATCTCTTGAAAATGTCATCATAGAGTGAAAAATATTTTCCAATACATGGGCATTAACAATTGACTTAAATGAGACCCACATTCATTACTGGGGGAACATTTAATCCAAAAACTGCAGGCAAGCAGGATCAATTGGACAGAGCTAACAAATTCTGTCAATAGCTAGCATCCTTTGCTTGATCAAAGATTTAGCATGCAAGCTGTTATGCCTGCACTATTCCACCGAACAAAGACCAAGTGCAAAAATCCTTTGTTTGAGGTTTTCCCGAAGAAGAAGTATAGAGGTCATTGAGTGTCAAGTAAACAACTTCCCTATGGAATGGTTGCTTCTAAAAACATAGTGCCTGGCCCTAAGCATGGCTTAATAGTGAGTGAAAGCCCAATTTTTTTTTAAAATATGACACTTACACAAGTGACAGTGCCCAGAAACAATGTTTCCTCTGCTATATGCATTTTTGAACTGAGAACTGCATTGCAAAATTTGAATAAGGTACAATCTGGAAAAAAAAATAACTCTAGCAAAGCTTTAGAAAGTCACCTTTTTGGACACCTTCCAGAATCCACTTGCTAGTATGACCACTAGGTTCTGACCCGTGATCATGTCTGCTGGGAGATTTTGGACATTGCTCCAAAGAATTAAAGTTTTCAAGGACTGTACAGGAAGTAAGGTACCAAAATCTGATATTTCAGAATCCTATTTCATGCTGTGAGTCAGTGTGGCATAATGGTTTGAGTGCTGGAATATGACTCTAGAGACTAGGGTTCGATTCACAGCTCAGCTATGGAAACCCACTGGGTGACCTTGAGTGAATCACACTCTCTCAGCCTCAGGGAAAGGCAACGACAAACCTCCTCTGAAAAAATCTTGCCAATAAAACCCTATGATAGGTTTGCCTTAGAGTTGCCATAAGTCAGAAACTACTTGAAGGCACACAATAACAGATTTCAGTTTCAACCAGTATTCTTCACAGAGAACAATATTTTCTTGCAACAATGTTGTTTTCTATTAAGGAAACTTGTTTTCTGTGTAGGAACCTTATTCTCTACACAGAAAATGCCATTTTCTCTGTAAAAAAAAGAGGTAAATGTCTTTCACATATCATATGTCTTAAACTGTAAGAATTATTGCCTATTTAAGGTTCTCCGCATCAGCATTATGTAAAACTTGGAAAACCAATTTTTTCATATTTTTTAAAAAATATTTTCAAATATTCTTTCCATCCCTGTGGTGTACTGGTGGATGGTACCAGACATCTGGTGCAGTGGTTTGAATGTTGGACTAGGACCCTGGGAGACCAGAGTGTAAATCCCTTCTCAGCCATTGAAATTCATTGAGTGACCTTGGTCAAGTCACTCTCTCTCTGCCTTAGTGGAAGGCAATGGAAAACGTGCTCTGAAGAAATCTGGCTAAGGAAACATTATAAGACAGTTCACTTTAGGATTGCCATAATGAGAAACAACCTGAAATTACAGGACAACAACAGTAGAGACAACAACAACAGACTCAGGTCCTTCTTCTCCCTGGAGTTGGGGAAGTAGCTCATACATGCTTTTACAAAAAGACATAGTAGCTGCCTCTGTTATACCATATTTCAGCTTTTCACCACCCTCAGAGGTTTCTTATGGTGTATTCCTTCCCTCTTGATCTGAGCTTTATCCTCAGGGGTGACCTTCAAATTTAAGAATCATTTTCTTTCATCCCTCTCTGTTTCTCATCCATGCAAAGGAAGAAGCTGTTAGGAAATCTGCTTCTCATATTTCTGAACTCTTTGGATTAATGCATGTATCTAATTGTGTACCGAGGCTTTCATATATATATATATATAATTTCATTTTCTTCTCTCTCTCTCTCTCTCTCTCTCTCTCTCTTTCTCTTTTGAGTGAAAGAGCAACATCCTTTTAATTTAAAATGATGGTACATGGGGAGTTGTGAATGATTGTCTTAAGGAGTGGTTGTCAGAAACTCTATAAGCACCTTGGTGCCAAAAGGGCAATTACATTGGAGTAGAGAGCTGCAGATTCAATTAAACCATCCCTTCAGCAAGGCAGCTACAAGGGAGTGGTGAGATGGTAGTGAGAGAGAACAGGTACAGTTTAATTTAGAAGAAGGGACATAATTGTTTAAAAAGAAAACACACATTTAAAGCTTTCTGAATCAACAAGATTCCCTTTCTCCCAATCTGCCTCTCTAGGGCAACTGCCCTCTAGCCAAAAGTGACAATTATAGTTGATGATTCAGATGTTCCAACACTTTAAGATGGTGGCTGGGATCTTGGTCTAGTACTACTTATAAGAATGTTCTCTTATAGACATTTTTGTTCAACACAGAATGTCTGCATTAGGTTCAAGGTTACAGAAGCAGACGCATGGAGTTGTTGCCCCCAAAAGTAATTTTTTCAACTGCTAATTCCTTGTATAGTATAGTGAGAGAAAAAGGGAAGAACAGAAGTCCCCATAGTTGGAATGGGTTGTGAAATTGGATGAGTGAAAGTCATGGGCTGCATCAGTTTGATAAGGTTATTTTTTAATGATCATGATAACTGGGAATTTGGGGAGGTGATGCACCTCCCAAAAGTAAGTTTTCCAGCCCTGACATCAGGGATGGTGGCCTTATATCTAAAGGTAAAAGTATTCCCTGTTGACAAGGTTGTCAAGTCGTGTCCATCTGTAGGGGGTGGTGCTCATCTTCATTACTAAGCCAAAGAGCCAGCATTGTCAGCATGACTGCACAGAATGCTGTTTACCTTCCCAGTAAGAAGTGGTACCTATTTATCTGCATGTGTTTGCATGCTTTCAAACTGCTAGATTGGCAGAAGCTGGGACTAGTGACAGGAGCTTACCCCATCATGTAGCACCTGAGCCTTGAACTGCCAACCTGCCGATCCTGCAATCAACAGAGTCAGCACCTTAACCACTTGAGCCACTGCATCTCTTATATCTACCCTCTGTATATTCAATAAAAGGAACTTACACATGACAACATGATAAAAACCATGCTAAATATGGAGGTGACTCCTCCACCAGTCCAACATCTTATTTCCTATGAAGCCCCTCTTAAAATGTCTACCAGAAGAACCTGGCTGGCATCAGCTCTCATCTGTGTCACTCCCCAACACTTAGGATTCTAAACCATGTTAGCTAATAGTCATCACCCCATTTGGGACAATAACCTATTGGTCTTTGTGTCTTACTGCATATAAACATTGACTTGAAACCATTGCAACACTTGTACACATCATGAAGGTAACTCTTCTTCCTTGCAACCCAAGGAACTACTTAAAAACTGAAACTTTTTCAGTCCTCTGGAATAGGTTTTCCGCAGTGGAAAGAGGAAATTGTATCCCCATATGCTCTTGCATAAGCTGACATAAAGTGTTGAATTTATCCCTTAATGCCCAGTCTTTCTTCTGTAACACAGAAGAAGAATAAATTTATACTCTATGCACAGGTATGTTGTAAGCATTAACTGATTGCCCAGTCACACTGAAATGCCCATGTGTCCCCATATCCATACATTGGGGGCCAGGCCCACAGTTCCAATCCTAAGTCCCCTTTCTTGAATTAATTTATAGTTTCTTTGAACATCGGCTTATAGCAACATGATATGTAAGCTGCAAAAATGTTTATATGTGTGTCCTACCACAGCCTACTGATTTATGAAGCTAGACAAAAATCAGATTTGAGTTGAGTGAGAATGATTAACTTTTACTGAACTGGTTTTGAAAAATATAGGGTTTATTTTTCCCATCCCGAAAATAATAAGGGTTTGAGTGTGTTTGTGTGTGTGTGTTGTTTTTGACCTTAAGGCAGAGAAAGAAAGCCAACACTAATTTAGGTAGGTGTGTGTGTGTGTGTGTGTGTGTGTGTGTGTTTGTGTATGAATTAAATGGAAGCTTTTTTTTTTTTTTTCAAGACAAGAAAGCTTAGTTGGTTCCATTTTCACAGCAGTGCTGCCTATCTCTTTTGGAAATTCTTTCTACAGGACAGATAAATTATATTTTTGGATATTATACCAAGGCTGATAAATGTAATGGATCTGATATTTATTGTAAATATTGGTATGAAAAGTGGTGATGGGGGGTGCCTTTTAAATACTCAAGCCATCTCACTATCAAATGCCTCCCAAAAGAACAGACACTAACTCAAAAGGAATCATGCGGTCCATAATAAAAAGAATATTAAAGTATTTTTATATCCTTTTTATTAACAAGGTGATGCTGATGTTCTCTTACCCCCCATCAAGTCACAGCACTTTCCATATCAAGAAAGCCAGGCAAAATATATTGAATCACTTTACATGTAAATACAAATGCTATTCAAATATTGACAAATTCTAGGATCTGATAGCTGCTTTGACATGAACAAGGAAAAATAACCAGCTTTTTGAAGGTAAATAAGCAAAGAGTTTAGGACATACACTGTAGGACACTGAAGGATGGAATGAGGAAAATAAGAATATCAGTATGAGTAGCAAGGCTGAAAATGCACTTTTTTTCACCTAGTTCATCATTAAATGGTGGAATTCACTGCCACAAAATATGGTGGTGGCTCGCAACTAAACTGCCTAAATGGTTGGATGGTAGGCCTGTATAGCAATGAGTTACTGAGAAAAGCTATATCTATTGGATGAGTGGATTTACACTCATCCCTCCACATTTGTGGCTTTGACTTTTGTGGATTTGATTATTCACAGATTTAATTAATATGCTTTCTCTAGGAATATCTAGGTCCTCCAGAGCAACTCTATGGTCAACTTTAACCAAAAGTTGCACTGAAGGACTTAGAGATTCCTAGAGAAAACCCTTCACTAGACATATGTAGATCGTCCAATGTAATTCTGTTTTCAGGTATGGCAGATGTTAACCACAGAGTTGCACTGGAGGACCTAGAGATTCCCAGAGAGGTGTTCTCTCAGGTAAAAACATAGTTGTTGTTTTTTTTATTATTTGCAGTTTTTCCACATTCACAGTGGTCCTGTACCCCTAAGCCCATCGAATGTGGAGGGACAAGTCTGTCTATCTATCTATCTATCTATCTATCTATTTGGAAATATTTATACTCCTCCCTTCTGCTACAAGGTCTGTCAGGGCAGCTTACAAATCAATAATTCAATAGTTCCCTGACCCTCAGGCTTACAATCTAAATAAGACATGACTTTCAGGGAAAAGGAGATGGCAGTGAGGGAAGAGATTAAGTCCAGCAGATACTGGCTGCTCTTCTCTCCTTCAGAGGCACAGAAATGGCGGAGGAATCATGATGGGAGAGCCTCTTAGAAGTTGCTGAGACAAAGCATGATGAATCCATGCCTGGCTGCTCTTCTCTCCCTCAGAGTATTGAGTATTGCTGAGAGCTACATGTTGGAAAAGCATCAAAAGGCTATGTAATGGTACTTGGCCTGTCCTTTATCTGTAGACAGAAAGGCTTACCTAGACTTTTGCCATCACATTTCCCCAGAAGACTGAGGAAATTCTAGTCTGATTGTTAGATGTATGGCATCCACAGGTCATTTTCCAAATACCTTTAAAGAAGAGTAGAACTACAACTAAGAATATGGGAATTACTACGGGCAAAGTAAGAGCTTACACAAAGTGTTTATTTCAACTGCAACAAAAAAAAGGCACAATTGAATCAAGTTTTATTGTGAAACAATCCCAGCTGTTTAGTTCTGCAAACCCAGATGTTCAGATAATGCAGCATCATTTTAAGACCAATGCTGTCCTAGCAAACCTTTATCTGAAAAGCTCTTCTGCATTATTTTGATTCATTTGGGATTTTTAAAAAA